AAAAAGAAAAAAAAAAGCGTTTATTTAAAAAAAAAAAAAAAAAATACAAATATATTCCAGATTTTGAAAAACTGGATCTATCAATGTACAGGAAGATACACTGCCTGGCCAAAAAAAATAAGTCACACAATATTTAATTGGACCTCCTTTAGCTTCGATTACGGCACGTATTCAACGTGGCATCATTCGTTAAGCTCATGCAATGTCACAACATTTATTTCTGGTCAGAGCTGCATTTCTTTTTTTACCAAGTTCTTGTAGTAGTTATGTGAGAGCCAGACCACTGTGTAAAGTCTTCTCCAGCACATCCAAAAGATGGGGTGAAGGTCTGGACTCTGTGGTGGCCAATCCATCTATGAAAATAATAGCTGATGCTGAACCACTCTTTCACAATGTGAGCCCAATGAATCCTGGTATTGTCAGCTTGGAATATGCCGAATGTGCCATCAGGGAAGAAAAAATTCATTGATGGAAAAACCTGGACATTCAGTATATTCAGGTAGCAGCTGACCTCATTTCTGGGGACATAACGTTGCTGAACCTAGACCTGATCGACTGAAGCAACCCCAGATCGCAACACTGAATCCAGTTGGTCACTTTTTTTTTTTTGGCCAGACAGTGTACATTACTGAACATTAGTTTCATGATTATTGTGGAAATAAAAGCTTCGACAAATAAATGTTTCAGTTTTGTGAGCTCCCTAAACCCTCCACGTAGGCACTTCCATACTATACAATATTTATGGAGATATAGGAGTCTCCCAGGTGTCTGGTTTCTTAGCTGACACTTAGGCCCCATTTACATGGGGACTTCTGGGATCCCTGCGGCAAGAACCTATGGATTCTTGCCGCAGGAATCCCAGGTGTTACATAGTTACATAGTATTTGAGGTTGAATAAAGACATTAGTCCATCAAGTCCAACCTATTAGGATCTAATTCTAGGAGTACCCGTACCCCTGTATATTACGGTCCCTTAAGAAAACAGATGTGTCCACTGTACCCATTCAAATAAATTACATGTGACAGCGGCAGCATCTGTCAGAGGCAATCTGCATGTAATTGTATATATGGTACCATGTACAATCACATGCATACTGCCACTGACAGGGCCGCTGTCACCTTTCATTTTATTTCATGGGTACAGCGGCTGCATCTAAACGGGGACACCTGGGATTCATGCCACAGGAGTCCATGGGTTCTTGTCGCAGGGATCCCAGAAGTCCCAGTGTCAATGTAGCCTTAGCCACTGTTTAATGTCCATGGTATCTATGCTAACAAGCCTGTTCCTGCACCAGACTTGCACCAGTATCATGCCATTCCTGCAGGTGTGGATCCTTTATTGTGTCCCATTATTAGTATTCCCATAAACTAAAAGGGGCTTTATTTATGTTGTTGTCTAGGGACTCGAACATTTTATAAATTGCATTACAGGGGAATTAATTTGGATTAATAAAAATAAAGAGAAGCTCAGTTTTGGGGGATCTGTATAGAAATGACAACACAGTAAACTGTAGCAGAGAGGTTACCTCAAAGCTTAGGTACTGTAACCCATGGGAAGAACAATGTCAAAAAACACATTCTAAATAATTTGCCACATTGTTCAACAAATTCTGGAATATCTCCAATGCAAATCTAAAATAAGATTATCTACAAAAGATGTTTTAAAAAAAAGGTGTAATGAATGTACAGTGAGGAAAATAATAAATTATTTGATCCCCTGCAGATTTTGTAAGTTTGCCCACTTACAAAGAAATAAAGGGTCTATCATTTTTATCATGTTTTTTGTTTGTTTGTTTTTTTAATGATAGAGACAGAATATCGATACAAATGCTATAAATTGAGTTGCAGTTCAGGGAGTAAAATAAGTATTTGATCCCCTACCAACCAACAATTCTGGCTCCTCCCACAGACTGGCCATGTGGTAAACAGAGTAGTCCTGTCAATCTAAGAAGGTGTTCCTAATGACAACTCGTTATGTATATAAAAGACACCTGTTCACAGAATCTCTTTCTTCCATTTAAACCTCCCCACCATGGGCAAGACCAAAGAGCTGACAAAGGACGTTAGGGACAAGATTCTAGACCTGAACAAGGCTGGAATGGGATACAAGACTATCGGCGATTGGAGCGATTATTTGCAAATGGAAGGAAAACAAAATAACCATCAATTGCCCTCGTTCTGTAGCTCCATGCAAGGTTTCACCTCATGGGGTAAGGATGATCATGAGAAAAGTGAGGGATCAGCCCAGAACTATATGGGGGGGGAGCTTGTGAATGATCTCAAGGCAGTTAGGACCACATCACCAAACAAACCATTGGTAACACAATGCACCGCCATGGATTGAGATCCTGCAGCGCCCGCAAGGTCGTCCTCCTCAAGAAGGCACATGTACAGGCCCGTCTGAAGTTTGCCAGTGTACATATAAATGATTCAGAGAAGGATTGGGAGAAAGTGCTGCTGTCAGATGAGACCAGCTTTTTAGCATTAACTCGACTCGCCATGTTTGGAGGAAGAAAAATGCTGACTATGACCCTAAGAACACCATCCCCACAGTCAAGCACGGAGGTGGAAACATTATGCTTTCCGGCTTTTTCTTTTCTTAAGGGTTGGGGCCGTATATTGTAAAATCTTGGATGAGAACCTCCTTCCCTGAGCCAGAACACTATCTGCGGGTCATGGATTGGTCTTTCAGCATGACATTTGACCCAAAACATACTGCCAAGGCAACAAAGCAGTGGCTCAAGAAGAGGCACATTAAAGTCATGGAGTGGCCTTGCCAGTCTCCAGACCTTAATCCTATAGAACATTTATGGAGGGAGCTGAAACTTCGAGTTGCCAAGCGACAGCCAAGAAACCTTAAGGATTTAGAGAAGATCTGTAAAGAAGAGTGGACCAAAATCCCTCCTGAGATGTGTGCAAACCTGGTAACCAACTACAAGAAATGTCTTACCTCTGTGCTTGCCAACAAGGGTTTCTCCACCAAGTACTAAGTTATGTTTTGCATGGGGATCAAATACTTATTTTACTCACTGAACTGCAACTCAATTTATAACATTTGTATCATGTTATTTTTTCTGGATTTTTAGTTTATATTCTGTCTCTATTTAAAATACCCCTATGATAAAAAAATTACAGACCTTTCATTTCTTTGTAAGTGGGCAAACCTACAAAATCTGCAGAAATCAAATAATTATTTGCCACACTGTATACACAACACACTTCACTTCTTAATTAATCTGGGAAATAGAAAGACCACTTAATTTTTATTACAGATGTATGGGAGTGCTGTACAAGCCAATTTGTCATTTCATTTTATTAACAATTACCTTTCCATTTTAGTATACACCACGTCTGATTTTCCTTTAGTGCCAAAAAAAATGCAGATTTTTTTTTTTGTGCATCTATGGCAACAGGCTTCTGTTTAAAAAATAATTTCCCAGAATCCTCATCACCATATTAATCTCATTGGCTCACTGCCACCCCTGGAAGTCTGCACTGGCATACGATTATAGGAATCCTGTTGCGCCATGTTATCTGTAGGTTTACTGTACTGATTATTATTTTTGGTGTGATTGGTAAGAAGTGAACACAGAACGATACATTGAAAGGGATACCGTGGATGCGGTGCTTTGCTGTTAAAGTACACAAGACCGATTGTGTATGATTTTAGTGAAGGCATTTTCTCCAAGTTAGGATTCAATTATGTAAAAATGTATCGCATGCAGTGTGCGTTCTGTCTATAAATGAGCATGGTTATCTCTAAAATGAGCATATTCACATACCGTAATGCTTAATACAGCACAGAAGCATTCAGTTGGTTCAACAATTCCTTGTTATTTGGTATGTAATTAACCTGCTTTCCACTTGTGTGGTTTAGGAAATACAATGTAGAGTAGTCCTCTCTTTTTAAAGAGTCTAAAAGAAATAAAGAAACCTTTCTAAACCTAATAACGGCATATTTGTCAGGTATTTTAATATAAGCTTCCGTTATTGTCACAGCTTTGCGCTAACCACTAATTACAGCTGCGAGCACTAATTCCCGTACAAAAACAGGACCATGAAGTGCAACAATATGTGCCGCGCTAGTGCCTAAACCACCTATATTAATAATATGTATCCCAATATGTGTGTGGTTGCACAACTAAAGAGAAAAAGTTGCAATCCAGAAAGTAAATCATTAAATATTCACATGCAAAGTGCAAACGGACATGAATGGAAGGAGCTTGCATGTTCTCCTTGTGCATGCGTGGGCTTCTTCCGGGTACTCCAGTTTCCTCCTACACTCCAAAGATATGCTGGAAGGTTAATTGGCTCCGGTCTAAATTAGCCCTTATAATTATGCATATGACATAGGGACCTTAGATTGTAAGCTCCTTGAGGGCAGGGAATGATGTGAATGTGCAACTATGTAAAGTGTTGCATAAATTGGGGGCACTATATAAATACATATAATAATAATAATAATGAATGAAAAATGGTACATCTACTGTCCATATAGTATCTGTGATCACACCAAGGTGAATATACCGTATTTGCCGGCGTATAAGGCGACTGGGTGTATAAGACGACCCCCTAATTTTCCACTTAAAACATACGTTTTGGGCTATACTCGTCATATAAGACTCCCCCATTTCCGAGGCAACACCATTTAAAAACATCATGGATGGATGGATGTGCGGTAATACTGTATGTACGGTAGCTTCAGCTACATACAGTATACCGCGCTTAGCCAATCATGGCGAGCAATGTATTCTATTAATGAATACAAAGCTTGCTTGGATTGGCAGAGGTTGTGTACATCACTCGCCGTGATTGGCTCAGCTACTGTATGTAGCTAAAGCTAACGTACATACAGTATTACCGCACATTCAGCGTGCTGACTGATTAGGGATGTTCGTTTTGGGCCAGCTTGGCCTAAACGAACTAAAGGTATACATTGTATACCCTGCATATAAGACGACGTTTTTAAGGATGTTTTTAAGTAAAAAAAGTAGTCTTATACGCCAGCAAATACAGTACACTTCCACTCTTGGTGAAAAAACTCCCCCAGGAGTGCGGCTCACCCTATCGGAAGACCTTTTTAATACAAGCCCTTAAGCGCTAATCCCTTTTAAGGCCCGGGCGGCAAGAAACCCTAAATAGCGGCAACAATCTTCTCTTCCTTTAACACCCCTTACGAAGTCACACAGAGACGCAATGTACTGTATGTCATGTGGGGCCTGCAGTATACTGCACAGACTGTCACGCTGCTAGGAGAATTATGAGGATTTTTGTTCCAGCGACTGTAGCCAGCTTTTATGTGCCATTTATTTCTGCTTTTATGTAAGTGGTATTTGAAATAAAATTGTATTTATACGTTATCGATGTGCACTATGGAGCTTTTCTTTGTTGATAATATGCACGTCAGAGCTGGAAGGAAAACGCATAGTGAGACCTTACGTATTGAAGGATTGCTGGTGAATCTGTCCTGTGGATGCTGAGGCGCAAAAGGATATTAACCTCCCCGGCGGTCTGATTATTTAGATGTTGTTTTTTTTTTCCTTTTTTGTTTTTTTGTTTTCGTTTTTTTACTTTCAAATCTCCCGCAGGTTCCGCCCCCCTGCGATGCGAACGCTTGCAAAGGGACGGAACCCGGAAAGGCGGATGCCGGCATCGGCCGGAGGACACAGCGAGGATCGTGGACAATGTAAGACGTTACAGTGTAATCTCGAGTGTGGCTCGGGGTTACTGCTTTTGGTAATGAAAATTAACCCCGAGCCACACTCGGGATTACCGCCAGGGAGGTTAAGGAAAGAGAAGATTGTTGGACTATTACCGCTATTTAGGGTTTCTTCCTGCCCAGTCTTAAAAGGGATTGGCGCTTAAGGGTCTTATATTTGAGGTATTCCTATAAGATGAGCTGCACTCCTGTGGGCATTTTTGGTGGAGGTTATCCAGAGCAATCACAGAGAGTGGAAGCGTATATCCACCTTGTTGGGATCACAGATATTATATGGACAGTGGATGTAGCATTTTTAATTCATGTTAGTTTGCACTTTGTGAATATTCCATTATTTACTTTTTGGATTGCAACTTTGTCTCTTTAGTTGTGTAATCGCGCACATATTGGTATACATATTATTTATTAAGGTGGTTTAGGCACTAGCATTTCTGAAATGAAAAAGCTGCTAATATGTAAATTAGCTGAATTTCAATAGCAGCCACCAAGAAAAAGATCATTAAGAACCCCTCATAGTGATACCTGTGACAAGAGCAGGAGGAGTGGCTGCTAATGTGAATAATTATTCTGCATGTGACTTTAGCTTTGAGTGCCCCATAAATAGTCATTTTATTTAGAAAAGGAGCCAAAGGTTTGTGTTAGCTGGGCGGTTTAGCTGTACTTAGTGGAGTGCTCCTTTACGATCTAGATCTCTGCAAGGGACATACTGTGTACATGTGGAAAAACAAAGGGATTATATGCAGTTCTTGTGGAAATATGTTTAGCTGTTGCCAGTCTCGCAACAAACAGGCTGGAAATGAGATTTTATAGACTAATATGTGTTTTTCTTTCTTCAGATCACCTCTGGGTGTTGTTTCCTGATGTGTGTATGGTAATTGCATCAGAGATTGCCGTGGACGTCGTAAAACATGCCTTTATAACCAAGTTTAATGACATCACTGCGGAAGTACGTATTCAACACGTTCTTTTCCTCCCCTCGTCCTCAAATAGAAGAACCTGCCATTGCCTACTTGTTTTTGTTTAGTTTTTTTAAAGATACAAGCTTTAGGGCTGTCATCCTCATGCTTGCATCACTATATGAGGTTTACTTGCAAAACAAGTATGTGCAAATCATGTATTCCTATTCTTCACTGACTACCTACTTATCTTAGGTCACTGATTCACCAAGTAATGAGAGCAGGATGAGATTAAAGTCTGGAATTTTGGATTTCAATAGCAAGGAAAGCAAAAGCCTCCCAGTATATTTCCACATATTTTGTCTCTTTGAACATTGCAAGTACAGAGAAATACCTGATGATTTGACAGAAATCCAGCAAGTTTCTAAACTCTTTTAGTGAACTGAAAGTGCTACCTCTGCTGCACTGAAATCCCATGCATTGTGTTTGCTGTATACATTATCAACCTGTGTCGCTCTCCGCAGCTGTTTGTGTTGCAGTTGAGTCTTTGCAGGATCAGTCTGTTGTTTCATACCAAGGTGCCATACTTAATTCTTGTTTGTGCAACAGCTTTCCAAGTCGCTTGATAACTGCATAGGGTCTTTTTAAGTCTGTGTTTAGACGTTTTTGCACTCCTGCTGCTGATTTCTAGCAATCAGTGCTGCTTGGCATTACCCCTGAGGTCATGCCCAGGAAAACTATTTTAACTTGGTTATTGGGAAGTTCCCTGAGCAAAGACCTATGTGAGTCACTGTTCCCAGGCTCAAGTACCCATGATCTTTGTTCCAGTTCCGATACCCTTTTACGACCTTTGTTTCTCAAGAACCCTTGTCATCCGCCTCCCCTGATATTTTTGCCTGTTTCTTTACTATCCTTGTTGTCCGCCTGCCCTGATCTTTTGCCAGTTTGCCAACGGCCTTGTCTGCCAATTTTGTACCACACTTCGGTTCTGCATTTTGTCAGCTGTTGCCACTTCAAGTGTAACAGAGGTCCGCAACCTGGGAATTGTGCACATCAAAGTCCATCAGCCTTTGTAGGGTGCTCAGCTGAATGCCTGGCAGTTCCTTAGACCCTGCACCTCGGCCCTCTATATGGCCTGAAATTGCCTGATAAGACTCTGTGAAACAGTGATATGAGCCCTCACAGAGTTCTGGACTACAGAACAGGTCTCCCTTATGTTTTCTGAAGTAATGGGTAACATGGCTGGAATTCCACTTTAATAATTTAATTGGTGTTATAAATGTTGCCTTTGGTGTTTTGAAGATTGTCTGGCTGATCTTTAGTCACTGTCAAACAAGCTGTATCCACTGTATCAAAGATGTATGTATGGTAATTGCATCATTTTAGCTCTTTTTTTGCTTTGCTTATGTCTTCTCTCACACTTATTAGTGAAGGTTAGAAAGATTTGTTTGAAATTTTGGGAAGCGCTGAATAATTATGCATTTTGGCATGTCCTCAGAGTCCACAATTCTTCACAGACTGATACTTTGCACAAGCTAGGTGACTCCCTGGTGACTTGGTGTTCTGTGGTGTCCTAGTTTAGGGAACGTCTGCCACACAGCACAGATGTTCTCTTTGCTGAAAATGATAATTCAAGTGCACAAGGTACACAACACACCTCTATAATTGTATTCCTTATGTGCAAACCCTCATTGTAAATATTTCACCAAGCATATTCATTGTCTTAATAAGCCCCAAAAACATTGATTGATTGGCATTAACTCCGAGCAGGAATTGCGGATTTTTCTTTCAATTGCAGCTGTTTCACTTAGTTTTGAAAGGAGTGGGGAGGGAGCTAGCTGGCCAAAAGTGATGGCCAATATAGCTCCAAAGCTGTAATTTGTCACTGTGAGGAGCACTTCAACCATGGTAATGAGAAAGTGCTTTGAGGAGAATTCTGCAGTGTAGTGGAAAATAATTAATGAACGGTCATGATGATTGTGAGGTCTTATTGTGGCAGATTTTAAGCAAGGTACTCTGGATTCTGTGGTAGTCTGAAGCGTTCTAGATCAAATCTTTGTGTATTTTACAGGCCCTTTTGTAATGTCTAACTGTGTTTTTCCATAAGGTGTACAGTGAATACAGAGCCAGTCTTGCCTTTGAACTTGTGAGCAGCCGCCAGAAAAACGTAAGTGCTGGAAATCTGTGTTACTGCAAAATGTATGAGCCTGTAACTCTTTCAGTGGTGGTAATCAAGCTATGTTTTATATAAAACACATAATCATTCTTCTTAACAGTCACCTCACAGTTCAAATCTGACCATACACAGTAATATGCTGCACTCTGCACCAAAAATATCAGACTATTAGATGACTCTTCTTTCATTTAACATGTTTATATAGTGCTTGTCAGTTGTCCACTACAGCCTCTGAGATGCGGGGTGCTCTAGGTTATCTACATTTTTCTATCCTTTATCAAAAGAGATGAATAGGGTCTGCAGCACGTCTACTGTTTGTATGCTAATATGAGCCTCCATGCTTACACAGATTCTTCAGCGCAGATGTTTTCTAACTCCTTAATGACAGAGGCCTTTTTTTTTTGCACATATGTTATAATGCACATTTTAGGCCTGAAAATTACTTCAAACCCCCAACATTATATTTTTTTTGAAAGCCAAGACCCTGTAGAATAAAATGGTGGCCTTTGCACATTTTTATGTTGCACTATACATTGAGTGGCCAGATTATTATGACCACCTGACGTTTTTAGGCAAATTAGCTATAATTTTTGCTAGACCAGACCATTATAAATAGGGAAGCAGGTTGTTTATCATGACAGTAGAAGTGATTTTCTTTCTGAAGAAATCGGTAAACAACGCGATTTAACAGCCTTTGAACGTGGGATGATTGTTGGCGCTCAAGCCATGGACAGAGTATCAGCAAAACAGCAGAATTCGTTAAATGTTCAAGAGCAGCTGTTTTTAAAGTGTTTAAAGACTTGACTTTCAGCCGAAAATCTGGGGCTGAACGTGCGAATTGTGGCCGTCAGCGACTAGTCAATGTTAGGGCAGAACGGAGAGTGGCAAGACTGGTACAAGGCAACAGTGCAGTGTCAGATTCCTCGCATCACCTTTCATCATCTCGTGGAGTCACGAGGCGGCCCAACGAAGTCATCTCGTGGAGTCATCTCGTGGCCCAACAAAGTACTCATGGGATGGTCATCATAATCTGGCCACTCAGTGAATTAGCGTTACATTAAATTTATATTAAATGTAGTGCCACACAACACAATAAAATACCCATTTTGTTTATAAAAGATGAGGTTACAACGAGTAATTAGATACCCAACATGCACAGGTTAAAAATTGCGTGCGTCTGTGAAACGGCGACAAAATTCAGTACCCCACAAAGTCTATAGACGACGCTTTAAAAGCCCTTACATCTCATCAGTTTTGAGATACGCTTAAATATAGGCCCTAGAATGATTGCTCTCTCTGGCGTGTGCAGCAATACCCAACATGTGGGACCGAAACCCAACTGTGGGACCGGAAGTGATGCAGTGATGGGCCCGGTGCCAGTGACGTACTATATATGTTACTGGTCACTAAGGGGTTAAAAACCTTTGAATTGGGTGTTGGTGATCTGTGTATTGGGCTTATCCTGAATAAAGGTAAATACAGATGAATGGCTATATCTAAGCACTACAATTGTGTGTATGCTCCTTTGGGTTATGAAAGACAGCCCCAAGCTGATGACTCTGAGTGAACCCTGGCATCAAGCTCTAAGGGGTAAGAAAGGCACCACTGACCATTCCAGGGACGAAGCAGCAGCATTTCCAGGTAGCATTTATCCGTAAATAATGCTCTTAGCATTCAAGCATGGTCACAACAGAGCCAAGGTGTGTTGAGGTGATTCATCTTTGTTCTTTGTGTCCTTTGAATTTGGGTGATAGTAAATCTGTTAGTCCCATAGATATATAGAATACAAGTGCGGCGTAAATGTAAAAAGTAATGTTTGGTTCTTCTTCTAAAATCCATACCAGACTCTTATCCAAGATTGCGGCCTGTCATAAAAAAAGCCCCTCTACATTAGGAGCCTCTTTTCACAACAGGATGCCTTCACCGAGGTCCGACACTATTGTTGGGATCCATCCGACTGTCTTACAGCTTGCTCTCTAGAGGCACCGCCAGCTGTGCCCGCCCCCTCCACTGTCTGTCCCTTCAATGAGTGTACTGGGTAGAGTATATTTTACTCTCCCAATACCTCTGCTTTAAGACAGGGCTTGCAGCCATTGAGCCTGGGTAAGGAGTTAAATATTGGAAATGTTTAAGTGGAATGTTTTGGATTAACACATCAAGGGATTATTAAATAAAAAATAGCGTATAGGTCCACTTTAAACTCTAATTTTGGTGCATGTTTCCCCTTTAAAAATGTTTTATAGGTGATAATTGAATCTTCATTGTCTCAACTAAGAATTTAGAGAGGGTTTGATTTCAGGCTTTTTTATTGATGTAACCAGGAAATCGGGAATGATTTATAGAATTTACATATTTTAGCATAAGCAGAGTGACATAAGTTCACGGAGTTGCATTCATCACCATTCATGTGGCCTTATGCTTTGTGTCACTTATAATAATGAATATATAAACTTCAGCAAGGTTACAGTGTTCATACTCTCACCTCTTTACTTTGTTCTAGGCCTACACTGACTACAGTGATTCAGTCTCCAGGCGTATGGGCTTTATTCCTCTTCCTCTTGCTGTGCTTGTAAGTATTAATGTGTGAGACTGGTGTTGTGTACTGAGACCGGAAAGCAATCATTAGCATGCATTTCATTAAAATCTAACACGCCACAAGCAAAAGAAAACATGAGAGATGTAACAGGTCTGAAATGAGAGAATGGAGAGCAAATCACGCTGGCAGACTTGTGTGAGGTTTCATTCTAACCGTCTTTGGCAAATCACACACTAATAAGAGGCCGGGCGTTCACTTGTGTCTAAACTGTCTGTACATTTCATTGCATTAGACGCATAATTAGCGGATTCTGCAATAATTAGAACCTAAACATATATTAATATTAATTAGGCCTTGAAATGTATTTATTAAGATGCAAGCAGAGTTTCTGTTTGGGGAGGGGGGCACCTTAACCTTATTCAGTGTGACAATGATAGCATAGCCCTTAATCTCATTTTAGTTTATCAAGGTCAATTAAGAGAGAAATGATTTGTGTTTGTCTTCTCTGCTCTGGGCTGCTGCACTTTACATATTGCTTGTTTTCTTTCAAAAAAAAAAAAGTTTGGGAAATGACAATCTTTAAATACCTTTTGTTTGATGTGTTACTTATATTCTCTCTCTCCTCCCTGTCTCTCTCTCTCCTTCCTGTCTCTCTCTCTCTCCTTCCTGTCTCTCTCTCTCTACTCCCTGTCTCTCAGTCTCCTCCCTGTCTCTCTCTCTCTCCTCCCTGTCTCTCTCTCTCCTCCCTGTCTCTCTCTCTCCTCCCTCTCTCTCTCTCTCCTCCCTCTCTCTCTCTCTCTCCGTCCTCATCTCTCTCTCCTCCCTATCTCTCTCTCTCTCTCCTCCCTGTCTCTCTCTCTCCTCCCTGT